GTTGATATCCATGGAATTTCTCCAATCCACGATTATTTAATTTCATTCAGTCGTATTCACATATTTTCAATATTTCTTTTTTCGCCAACTCGCATGTGCCGATCCATGAACCAATTAAACTTTCTCTACTCCTGTCTAACATACAGATAGCTGTCGGAGACTCAAGTTTCTGGAAATAAGAGATGGTTATGCATTGGTGGGCCATGTCTTTGAAAACATTTTAATGCCAGTCGGAATGCATATATACAGTCACTGCAGAAATTGGTGTACAATGAAAGACAGATGTAAATCAATCAACATGGGACCCTCAGGAGAAAAAGATAAAGTTTTGTGTCAATTGAGTGACTCGGACCATTTACAACACCCAAATGATCTGAAACCCATGGCAAGCTTTATATATAGGGGCACGGAGGTAAGAGTTCATTTATTTATTTATTATTTGTGGGTGTGTGTGTCTGTGTGTGTGTGTGTGTGCGTGCGTGCGTGCGTGTGCGTGTGTGTGTGTGTGTACTGTTTAAAGGACTTTCCCTCACTCTTCTGTGAGGTCTTCAGGAACTCAGATGAGGCAATTTCATTTCAAAAATTTCTAAAGCGAGGTCTTAGAACACCTGAATCGGCCAATGATAAAAGGTAGATAAGTTGATAGAAAAATAAAGTTTCTATATTACTTGCCTTCTGACTGGCTGAAACAGTGAAGGGAGAACGTCTCGTTTCTCCTCCTTTACTTCTTTCGTTCTGTAGCCGCTTCCTGCGTACTTTACAACACCACAGAGAACAGTCGTGGCATCTTTATTTGTTAAACAAAAACATGGATCAAAAGTATAAATCGCTCGCATGAATAGCATCTCTCTTATTTTATGAAAAATAAGGTTCAATGTCCTTGCCCATTAGAACAAGTGTTGCTTCAACATGTGCTACAACAATGGAACTTGCCTGGTTGGATTTACGGACAAGGGATACAAATGTTTGTGTCCACCTGGTTACACGGGAGAATTCTGTGAAAAAGGCAAGAGTTATTTCGCACTTACGCTCTGATAATCATGTTGACTACTATAAATATTCGCCTATTTTGTGTCTATCTTACTCTGGTCTCGTATGCCTCGACATGTCTTCCGATGACTAACTGATCAACGAGTCATGTATCACACTTCGTATCCGTACCCCCTGAAAATCATGTGATCTCCCCAGCCCCTTCATCCTTCCTCCGATAGATAACGACTGGTCCCTAAACCTGATTCCACATAGCACGCTTTCAGTTTTGTCGATTATCACAGGTCATCCAGTGAGAACATACCTGCAAGCTTTTATCATTTATTTGTTTTTAATTCCATTATCAACGGAAAGAATTTGTTTCTTGAGATGTAGACGAGTGTACCACCAATACATAACATCAGAAACAATAGATTCATTATCCTCGTTTGTTTATATTTGCCTGAACATGGTGAGTGCTTGCTTGTGCTCTCCAAAGGTCCCGCGTGCATCCATATCACGATAAACGTCGCTAAGCATGAACTAATGGATGGTTGATAAAATATCATCCAACGGTGCTTCGTTGGGTACGAGTAACGCCCAAAACCAGCACAAATATCTCGCGGTATTTATACTCCAGAGAACCAGCTAGACAGGTTTTCTCGCACTGCGCATGCGAAGAATGTGATTGAAGTTACGAAAAAAATGGCGGACAATTTAAATGATTAGTTATTAAATAAAAGTGCCTTGAAAAGCCCAAAATAAGAGAAAAAAAAAAAAAGCCGAACTAGCACAGGAGCGTTGATAAAACTCGCTTTTCCGATTTCCAGCAGCAATAAGTGTAACAATAGGGATCGTTTAGTAGTAGCCTCGTTTGAGCGTTTAAACTTAAGGGGCTGACGTTTCTAAAAAAACCAGTATGTTGATGTGACACTTGATGGTAGATATTAAAACGATTCATTTGCAACTAAAAAATAAGTAAGAAACCCAAGAACGGCTTTTAAAGAAGAAGGGCTTATCCCTTAAAAGGAGAGAGATTTAGGAAGTATTAAGACGCTTAGCCTTTAAACATGACGAAGAAACTGACAGATTCAGTCGAAAGCCGATTTCAAAAGCTATCAGTTTTAACAAACAAGACTGACACAACATTTACAACCACAATCAGATGCGAGGAAGGGGTAATATCTGTTGACGATTGGGTACCCCTCAATCGAGATACAACGAATTGAATACATGATCCAATGAAAAAGAATTATATAGATAATTTAATGCTCAAATTAGTGCATAAGTAGCTTTAAGGATCGATTCACTTGTTAATCAATTTTCAATATTTCTCTTTGTAAATGCAATGTACCTCCAATAAAAGGAAAACGTTTATGTTTATATTGATAGAGATAGCTTAACTACTACCTTTCAGTATTCAGTGCCGTTTTTACGAACCTCAACGCCAGTGGAAGATTTGGTCCAACAACGCTGGCCAGTCACTACGCAGGTCAGGATCATGACGGACAAGTTACACTGTCCAGCGGTATTCAACAGTGGACTGTGCCATACACTAGCGACTACAGGATAGAAGCAATAGGAGCAGCAGGAGGATACGATACACTCAACAACAGTGCTCAGTATCGAGGAAGAGGAGCAAGAATGATTGGAACATTCAGTTTAAACAAGAGTGAAGTCATTCAGATACTTATCGGTCAAGAAGGAGGAATAAACAAGGGTAATTGGTCTTCTGGCGGTGGTGGAGGTACATTTGTAGTGAGAGGAGCCAACAAATCTTTGATCATAGCCGGGGGCGGAGGAGGTACGCAGGGATTAAAGTCAAGGCAGTCAGGATGTGATGCTAGTTATGGTTCACCGGGAAATTCTGGTTACAGATCATGGTCAGGGGGGAGCAATGGACATGGTGCACAGACCGCTGACACTGGCGCTTCCGGTAATTTGGTTGTTTTGACATGTGACCATCTGTTTCCGAAACAAGAACCCCATGTCTCCTAGCCATATATCAATTAATTGTCAGAAAAAAAAAACGTGAAAGGTACAAATTATTGAAATCAAAATGAATTAATTTGACCTGGGACTGCACGACAGTAAGGTTAGGTGTTTATCATCGCTGAATGCTTAAAAACGTTTTCGTTTTGTTTTTGTTTTTGTCTGTTTTGTGTTGTGTTGTTTTTCACCTTGAGAATTTAACTCTTCTAAAAGGAATCTAAAACAGGACGATTTCTTGGATTGTTCTCTCCTTGAGGATGTGTTTTATGTTAAAATGATTTACATTTAAATTTCGTCTTTTAATTTTGGCCTGTAGGCATCGCTATTTTTCAAATTCTTACCGCATTTTTCATTTTTAAAGCGCAAACCAATGAATGAAGGTTGCCATTTTAATTTTTAAATAAACACTGACTCAGTTGTTACGGCATCAATCTGAAATTGGCCTTTCTTTAATAAATGAGTAACTACTATATCATCAATCTCCGCTAATCTCTGTCGCACGAAAGGAACTTCTAGTCTCATCAGCAGTAGAATGAAGATTTTCACTTATTTCTGAAACTAAATGTAAAGATTACGAATCAACTGCATACAACTACTTATTTTTATTATGACCGATAGGTGGCGGCGGAGGAGGTTTCTACTCCAGCGGCAGAAGCTCAGTGAGGTTTGGTGCTACCATAGGAAGTGGTGGTGAGGGTGGTAAAGGATTTCTTCAGGGAGGAGTGGGAGGTAGAGCTCTGTTTAACAATGTTTATGGTGGATTTGGTGGAGGTGGAGGAGCTTTTGGAAAAGGGGGAGGCGGTGGAGGAGGAGGGGGGTACTCTGGAGGAGGCAGTGGAGATAATAAACATAGTTCCTGTGGAGGCGGTGGAGGATCTTACAATGTTGGCAAAAATCAACAAAATGAATGTTGCTTTCGATCATTTGGCCATGGTCAGGTGATCATAACCAAAATGTAAAAGAAAGTTTTTATGGACAATCGAAAAACTCTCAGGGTGACTGATTAAACAGGTCGAACAGTAGAGTGTGCAATTATTAGCGAATCCATAAAAAATATTGGACATACTGCAAAAACGCGGTTTTGAATGTAAAAATTAGTGTAAGTGTATTTTGAGCATACGCACTTTTATGTCTTTAAAAGGTTGATCCCGAGGGAAACTGTCCTTTTCCCAGGTTGGACCCGAGGGGGAAAATGTTCTGTTTTTCGAATAAAGAGCCACTGAGTGATCTGCTGTATAGCACACCCAGAAAAGTCAAGGTTATATTGTAAAAATAAACAATACACAACAAACAAATGAAACTCAAGGTTGATTTATATGTAACCTCATAAGAGAGACAAATACTGTCAGTATAATCTCGTGCTATCTTGTGACACCCTAAATCACGATCTGTTCACATGCGAAGGTGGGTGTAGGTCAACATTCGCGGATAAAATTGTACTGTTACTCTTAAACCGTAATGGAACTTCACAATGATGCCCTCTCAGTGTTCGGGCCCGGACCCACAGTGAGAGGATCTCACGCCCCCCAGTGAGACTGGACTTATGACGGGACCATCCTACGGAGAAAATTTTTTGCTTCGTTACTATTATGGTATATCAAAACATGTGCTTTTCGCTTGAAGTTATTTTAGTATTCTGAACAAAATATTTTAGTAGTCGGAACAAAACATTTTAGTAGTCTGAACAGAACACTCAGAAACTTTTGACGGAAACCATTTCATATTTAGAGGTCATACGACCCTAAAACTAACCAATGAGAGCGCGCACCAGTGAGGAAAGAATGCAGCCCTATGACAATTTATCTCATTTTAATTTATCGCATTTTCTTATGGCTAAGCTTAGGGTTAGGGTTTGGGTTAATGAGGCAGCTTTTCAATTCTTTCCATTTTTCTTAAAAAATTTCGGTCAATTTTTGAAATAACAATACAGTGCCAGTGTACCCCACCCAATTGACCTTGTAAAATTTAAAATATTGTAGAGGTTTTGTGGCCAAATTGAAATTACCTTGCATTGTTGATCTTTTTACTTAATTGTGTTTTATTTCAAGAGTTTTTCCAAGGTTTAGAATCGCTTGCTCGTGTTTCCTGTACACATCATGTATAAATTTGAGTTTTAATCTGAACATTTTTCTTAGCTTGAGGGAACTGGACACCATTGTATACGTTTATCTAACCTTAGTGTTGTATCTTAAACGAAGGCTCCAACTCTTGAATTTCCTTTTGGACACATATAAATTAGCCAGTCTTCATCTTCCAATATCAGAGGTAAACATCTTATAATGATTAAAATTAAAAATAAAATCTACAGTTTTTACCATGACTAACCGTTAAATTTTGTCAATTTCTACGCTTAACGGCGAGCCTTTTTGGCAGTTTTATGGCTTATGGTTGACCCTTTTGAGACCTTCTTGAGAGCATCCATCATTCAGCGTCCACTCGTTCCGCAACTTCGTCGGAAATGGCGATTTCATTATTAACACGGCTACAAAAGCATGTTGTGGCAGAAAATCTTCTGTTGTGATTTTTCTCTTGAACTAATGCTCCATATAAAAAGTAGCAGTAACTGTACCACAACACAAAAGCTCCTTGAACTAATCCCTCTGGCACATTTGAACGTTTAGATTGGCTGCTTATTCGAGGTGGGCGCCCACTAAATTTTTCCTTTTTGGTTTTCAGTAAGTACTAATCTCATTTTGCAACAAAACATGAAATGATAACATAAAGTGAAAATGTACCATCGACAGTGAATGTAGAGATTGTAAACCAGCAAAGGAATACTTATCAATACTC